GGTAGAGGGTAGCAAGACTGAGGTCCACAGACAGGCTCCAACTTTGGCTCCCAAGAGAGTGGGCCCCAAGCACTGGGGGCAGGCTTGGTCCCCCCCACCCCCTGCTGCCTCTACCCCCCCACTCCCTGCAGTGTTTTAGAGGTAACCAAGTGGAATAGTTAAGAATGAAGTCCCAGCACAGCCGGCGTGGCTCAGTGGTTGAGCGTTGACCTATGAACCAGGAGGTCATGGTTTGATTCCCAGTCAGGGCACATGCCTGGGTTGGGGGCTTAATCCCAGTGTGGGATATGCAGGAGGCAGCCAATCAATGATTCTGTCTCATTGTGGATGTTTCTATCTCTCGCTCCTTCTCCCTTCCTCTCTGAAATCAATAAAAATATATTAAAAATAAAAAAAAAGAATGAAGTCCCTGGAGTCAGATTCCTTGGGAGCCGATCTTGGCTCTGCCACTCGCTAGCACTGTGTGAGCTCAGGGCAGATTCCTCACTTTCTCTGGGTCTGTTTCCAGCTGTAAAACAGGGTTGATAATAGTACCTATGTCCTAGGGCCTTACATGAAGACATGCTCAGGAAAAGTTTGTTTGTATTATTGTCACTGTCCTCTCCCCAGACTGGGTGTCACCACCTGCTGCAGGTCCCCTGGGCTCCAGGCAGGGCCGGTGGTGGGGGCTGTGCCGTGTCTGCTCTCCCTCCCGCCTCAGCCTCCTCCCACTCTCACCCTACGGGTCCTGGCTGGGGACACAGGGGGCTTGGAGGCCCCGAGGCTGCCGTGGGAAGGGAGCCCTGTGTGGAGCGGGGAGGGCACGCGATCAGACATTTGAATTCTGCCTGAATTTTTCCTTTTCTTGGGCGGAAATTCCTGCGGCCTGCGGCCCCCGGCCCCCGAGGTCTCTCACCGCTCCAAGTCCCCCGCAACGATGCTGGGAGGTGCCTTTGTCCAGGTGACTTTGGGTTTGAACGGCTGAGTCTGCAGTGGCCCTGCGCACAGTCCCCAGCTCTCGGTAAGCGGTCTGAATGCCGGTTGTCAGGATGCATTTGTCTTCCCTATGGAGGCGCCTCCCTGTCTAACACGTGTCCCCAGACCTGGCCACACACGGGGCACAGAGCAGGTGCCTCTTATATATTTGACTCTGAGCAAATGACTGAACATCAGCTACATGGATGGCAGAATATATGGGAGAAAATTTATTTCTCGAGGCCATGCTACATGACCTTTGTGAGGTCGGGGCATCCAGGCTGATCAGGGTGCTTTCAAGGCCTCTGAGCAAATGAGGGTTCCTGTGGGAATGCTGGGGCTCCTGACCCCAGCCCCTTCCCATGATTCCATGGACCATGATTCTTCCATCCCACCCCTGCTCTCTCCACAGCGTCACAGGGACACGGGGTGTCTGTCCTGCCAGCCCACCTTCCCCAGGACCCTTTCCTCCCTGCCGGGTGCCCTCTAGTCTTCTCTCAGCCCCTGCCCATCCCTCAAGGCCTGTCCCAGGTCCTGCTTCCGGTGGGACACACTCTGGCCCTGACAATGGCTACCCATCTCCACTGAGTCCCACCCAGCCCTTCACCAGGCCCAGCTGGCACCGACAGGCCGAGGGGTGTGGAGCCAGGGGCCAGGGACGTGGTAGGGGTGGGGGGTGGGGCAAGGTCAGATCCTCTGCACACTCCCTGTGCGGCCCGGGCAGGGGCAGCCTCTCTGAGTGCCAGCTCCCTCATCTGCAGGGAACAGCCCAGGACGGGCGGTGGAGGTGACAAAGTGAGGTTATGATGGCGCATGTCTGGGGCCTAGCAAACGTCAGCTCACTGCCCTTCCTCCCCCCGCGGTCATTCAACTCGAGAGAGCCCCGCGTGTCCTCCCTGGTGGCAGGCCCAGTGCTGGGCCCACAGCAGGTGCTCAGTGTGTGCCGGTCACTTCAGTGTATCCTTCAACCTACTGTTGGAGGGGCCTTTCCAAGTGTCTGTCCCATGCCCCTCCCATTTTTATTTTTATTTTTTAAAATATATTTTTCTTGCCCTGACCGGTTTGGCTCAGTGGATAGAGCATCGGCCTGCGGACTGAAAGGGTCCCGGGTTTGATTCCGGTCAAGGGCATGTACCTTGATTGCGGGCACATCCCCAGTGGGGAGTGTGCAAGAGGCAGCTGAATCGATGTTTCTCTCTCATCGATGTTTCTAACTCTCTATCCCTCTCCTTCTCCCTTCCTCTATGTAAAAAATCAATAAAATATATATATTTTTTAAAATATATATTTTTATTGATTTCAGAGAGGAAGGGAGAGAGAGATGGAAACATCAATGATGAGAGAGAATCATTGATTGGCTGCCTCCTGCACGCCCCCTACTGGGGATCAAGCCTGCAGCCCCAGCATGTGCCCTTGACTGGAATCGAACCCGGGACCCTTCAGTCCGCAGGCTGAGGCTCTATCCACTGAGCCAAACTGGCCAGGGCCTCCTCCCCGTTTCCAATCCTTCCATGGCTCCCATCTCTTGCAGGGCAGGTCCAGCTTCTGCACACCCGCTGGCCGCGCCACCCACACCTGGTGAGCTGCTCTCAGCCACTCAGAGGCCCGGGGGCCCATCCGGGGAAAGGGATCTGCACTCACCGGAAGAGGCTAAAGAATCCGTACGTTTCTAGAAACATGCCCAGGAGGGGCCAGCGCAGGAGCACAACGACCACACCCCCCAGGAAGAAGCTGGTCCCCTTGAACTTGTGCCTCTGGAAGAAGAAGGAGAACGTCTTCCTCAGGCCGATGATGAGGGTCAGGCCGGTCAGGAACAGCAGCTGGCGGGGGAGGAAGAGGAGCGTGAGTTCAAGCAGCCCCCGCCCCCTCTGGAGCTAAGGGCCAGCCTCCCCCCCTCAGAGCCAGGGGCCAGCCTCCCCCCTCAGAGCCAGGGGTCAGCCTCCCCCCTTGGAGCTAAGGGCCAGCCTCCCCCCTCAGAGCCAGGGGTCAGCCTCCCCCTCAGAGCCAGGGGCCAGCCTCCCCCACTCTCTGGGGGCCAGCGGTCAGGCCTGGAGCCGCCATCACGCATGGGGCAGGAGGGTCGGTTTCAGAGAGGGTGACCCAGCCTTGTAGCAAAATTACGGAGCCTTGAGGAATCTGAGCTGTTTGGAAACCAAAGTGACCAGAGGCAGGGGCTGCACAAGGGGAAGTTGGGCTGTTCTCTAATTTCTCACCCAATTCAACCACTTTCTTGGGTCCCAACCAGTGCTTCGTATCTACTGCATTTCTCATCCCGCCTCCCAGGGAAGCTGGGATAGACAGTGAGATTCTCTCCCCGGTCGGAAGGGGAACACCAGGCCCGCATAGGTTAGGCGGCCGTACCCAAAGCCGCGAGGGACCGGCAGGGCTCCGCTGCCCGTGGGATGACACTCCGGTCCCTCCGGCATCTGGCCCTGCCACCGCCTTCAGTGTGGCTCCTAATGATCCCCGAAGAGTGCCCAGGCTCCTGTCCAATTCCTTCCAGCATGTTCCGTCCACCTGAGAGCACTTTCACCAACCCCACACACTTTCCTTCCCAAACCCCTTCTCATCCTCCCCAGCTGGGTACGCTCCTTCCCCTCCTCCCCCCCCCCCCCAGATGGAATGTGTTTGTCTCATGGTGACTTTGCTACACCTCTGCCTCTGTCCCCAGTCGTGTGTGTTCGTGGGACACCCCCGCCCCTAGCTGGTGGGAGTCCAGTGGAGGGACAGTGTCTCACCCCTCCCGGCCTCACCCAGAGCTGGCGTGAGAATCCAGGTCCTCAGATTCTCTGCCCAGCAGGGCCTGCTGTCCATCCCCAGCCACCCTGCTGGCACAGGCTGCTGGCACCTGACCCTGGACGGCCGCACGGGAAGGAACTTAGGGCTGACCCCAGCAGTAGAGACCTCAGGGAGGTTGGGAGGGTCCGCAGGGCAGGGGCACTCACGTTTCCGAAGGCCAGGAGCACGGAATCAAAGTACAGGAGCACTCCGAGGAGGATGAAGAAGGCTCCAAAGCCGGTGATGCCCACGCCAATCTCTGCAACAGGCAAGGAGGCCGTGGTGGGAGGGGCTCTGGGGAGAGGCGGGGCCTGGGATTTCCCGGTGACCCCTGGACAGGTGCCCTCGGGGGAGCTCTGTGCTCGGGGGAATGATGGGATGGATGGGAAAGGAAGAATGAGCACAGAAGTACATTGAGCTCCTGGAAACGGCCGTGCAGTCCTGCGCTTCCCGGCATTCTGCCCTCAAAACAGCCCTCTGCGTGGCTGCAGCTCCCCCACGTGCGGATGGGAGCTGCCGATGCCCACGCCACACTCAGCCAAGGGACCACTGGCAGCTCATGGCCACCAGCCCCAAAGGGCCCGGAAACCACCAGCTGTCCTGCCTGTTTCTCAAGAGGTTGGCCCTCCTGTCTCGTTCCTCCCCTAACTGCCCCTGCTCCGCCTTCCCGGTGAACACCTGTCACCCTGGTTTGGAAAAACCGAAGTCATCGATCGGTAGTGTGCTCATCTGTCCTCCTGGAGTCCACACCCCAGCCGGCACCCGCTCCCTTTCCTCCCTCCCTCCTGCAGAGGCTCCCTCTGGGCCCCACCACTGTCCCTGAGCCTCTGGTTGCAGCCACAGTGGCCTGCAGTTCTGCCCAAGGCTGGGCCCACGTGGCAGCGCCCCCCTGGTGGCAGTGCATCTCGGGGCGTCGCTCTTTGCAGCTGCAGGAGTTTGCTCAGAGCCAGCGCGGACAGCACCCAAGTGCAGGACCTTAAGGCCCTTGTTGGGCCAAGGGCTGCATTTTGGACACTTTGATACACATTTCAGATCGCTCCCCTCAGGAAGAGTTGTAACAAAACCGGATATGAAGTTCCTTTTTTTCTTAAACCCTACGCGTAACACAGAATTGTTCATTTTACTTATCATTGCCATTCTGAGAGTCAGCAAATGATAATTCATTGTCTCGCTTCATTTTTAAGATACTTTTATTGATTTCAGAGAGGAAGGGAGAGGGAGGGAGAGAGATAGAAACATCATTGATGAGAGAGAATCATGGATCGGCCGCCTCCTGAATGCTCCCGAGTGGGGGTTGAGCCTGCGACCCAGGCATGTGCCCTTGACCGAAATCGAACCCGGGACCCCTCGGTCTGCAGGCCGACGCTCTATCCACTGGGCAAAACTGGCCAGGGCTGTATTGTTTCATTTTTAAATTGAACTAACTTGGAATTTTACTTTAAGTCGTGATAGAATACACATAACATGTACCATCTTGACAATTCGTAAGTGTCCGGCTCAGTGGTATTCCGTACATTCGCATTGTTGTGTTACCATCGCCCCATCCATCTCCCAAACTCATCTGACAAAACTGGAACTCTGTACCCATCGAACACTAACTGCTCATTCCTCCACCCACGGCCGCTGGACCGGCCACGCTACTTTCTGTCTCTGCTCTGGGGATCTCAGAGAAGTGGGATCACACAGCATTTGCCATTTTGTGACCGGCTTATCTCCCGTAACACGATGTCCTCAAGGGTCATCCGTGCTGTAGCGTGTGTCAGTCAGAATTTCCTTACCTTTGAAGGAATATTCCACTGGATGCACATACTACATTTTGTTTGTCTACTCATCTGCGGATGGACACGTGGGTGCTTCTACCGTCTCGCTGTTGTGAATAAGCGTCTCTGAACACGGGGGAGAAAATATCTCTTCGAGACTCTGCTGTCAATACTTTGGATATGTACCCACCGGTGGGATTGAGGAGCAAGTGGTAGTTCTATTTTTAATTTTTTGAGGAACCACCATACCGCGTTTCATAGCAGGCGCTCCATCTTACATTCCCACCAGCAGGGCACAAAGGCTTCATGTCTTCCCATCCTCACCAACACTTGTCATTTTTGTTTTTTTAAATCTTTTATTATTTATTATTATTTTTAAAATCCTCACCCGAGGATATGTTTATTGATTTTAGAGAGGGGAAGGGAGAGAGGAAGAAACATCAATGTGAGATAGAAACACCGATCGCCTGCCTCCCTCACGTGCCCCGACAGGGGATCGAACCCGCAACCTTTCTGGTCTACAGAACGACGCTCCAACCAACGGAGCACCTGGCCGGGGCTGTTTTGTTTTTGACAACATACATCTTAGTGGGTGTGAGACGGTACCACGGTGGCTGTGACTTGCCTCTCCCTATGGTTGGTGATGGTGAGCATCTTTTCACGTGCTTGCTGGTCATGTGTATATCTTCTTTGTAGAAGTGTCTACTTAAGTCCTTTGCCATTTAAAAACCAGGTTGTTGTTGTTGAGTTGTAGGAGTTCTTTATATATTCTGGATAGAACCCCCTATCGGATATATACTTTGCAAATATTTTATCCCACTTCATAGATTGTCTTTTTTACTCTGCTGATTGTTTTCTTTGATGCCCAGAGGTTCTTAATTTTGATGCAGTTCAATTTATATCATTTTTCTTTAGTTGCTTATGTTTGTATCATATCCCAGAAATCGTCAAATCCAGTGTCATGAAGCTTTTCTCCTATGTTTTCTTCTAAGAGTTTTATAGTTTTAGCTCTCACTTTGAGCTAAAATGAACTACTCTTTTGCCTGTGGGTATTCAGTTTTCCTGACATCATTTGTTGAAAAGACAGCCTTTTCCCACAGAATGGCCTTGACGCCCTTGTTGAAGTTCATTTGGTGCTTTATGCCGGGGTTTATTTCTGGGCTTCCTATGATATTCATTGGTCTGTCTGTCTGTCTGTCTGTCTTTATGCCACTGTTTTGGTTATTGGAGCTTTGTAATAAGATTTTTGTTGTTGTTGTTGTTAATCCTCACCCAAGGATATTTTTTTTTCATTGTGTGTGTGTGTTTTTAAGAGAGAGTAGAAGGGAGGGAGAGAGAGAGAGAAACATCGAGTGAGAGAGATTCCCACACACGCTCTGACCGGGGCTGGGAATCAAACCTGCAACCCAGGTACATGCCCTGGACTGGGAGTCAAACCCGAGACCCTTCGGTGCACGGGCCGACTCTCTAACCACTGAGCACACTGGTCAGGGCTGTAATAAGTTTTGAAATGAGTAAGTGTGAAACCTCCAACTTTGTTCTTCCTTTTCAAGATTAATTTGGCTATTCGCTAACCCTTGAGATTCCAAATGAATTTTAACATTGATTTTTCTATTTCTGCAAAAAACACCATTGGGATTTTGATAGAGATGGCATTGAATTTGTAGATTGCTTTGTGCAGTACTGACATCTTAACAACATTAAATCTTCCAATCCATGAACACAGGATGTCTTTCTATTTATTTGTGTCTTTTACAACATTTTCAGCAACGATTTGTAGTTTTCAGTGTACAGGCATCCCTCATTTTATTGTGCTTTATAGATTTTTTTTTTTTAAATTGAAGGCAAGACCCTCCACCAGCACAAAGGTTACGACTTGCTTTATTGCAAAGGTTTGGAACCAAACCCTCAACCAGACAGACCTCAGAGGGTTAGGACCAGTTCCAAAGGGCTCCTTCAAAAGATCTTTTTTCAAAGATTGAGATGAGATTTATCGTTCAAATGATAAACCGCCCTCGATTTATCATCCAGAGAAGTGCCAGTCTTGCTGGTCTCCCTTTCAGCAGAGCCGGATTCTGTTAGGACCCAGCGCCACCACCGGATCTGTCAGCAGAATGTCCGCCTGCCCGGAATCCAGCCGGACTGAGGGCCGAGTCCGCCTGCTTCTGACCAGCCCCCGGGTCTATCTGGGCTTGTTTCCTACGCCCCCCTCTCAGCAATGCCTGTCTGAATCCCATCTCTGAGGGCCCGGGACACCGGGCAGTGCAGCCTCCGTGGGCCATGGCGAAGGCTGTGTTCTGTCCTTCCCTGTGTGTGATGTCTCTGTCCTCGAGAGGGGCTAGAAGGGCCTCCTCTTTGCTAGGATGATTTTACGTAGGAAGACCACAGCCCTATTCTTTCATCCAAACAGCCAAGGCATTTATGTTTTCATGCCGGTTATAAAAACATCTGGTCTCAGCTTACACCTGCCACAAAAATATGCCATTGGTTCCGGCGCTGACAACCATCCTTCGCTTCTATATCCCCCGGGGGGATGTATTTGGTGTGGAAACACAATGTGAATATTTTACTAGGTTTTCCTTTTGTTTTGTTAAAACATCCATGTGTTCATCCTGTAAACACGTAAGAACAGCCTCTTATTCATTTCGTGGAAACCGCCCAAGTTTCTCAGATTCACACCCTGCCTTTTCTCCCACATTATACTTTCTTCCCCTACAGCGATGTGCTGGTTTACACAGTGATTGCTTTCCTAACTTGTCCCCCGCGATTCCTGAAGGACCGGTGCCACTCCACAGCTCCTGCCGCGGGCAGCCTTCCTCACGGGCCGCGTGGTGCCCCCAGTGTTCAGGGGGACACTGCACCGCGGACACAAACCTCACGGAAAAGGGTCGGAAGCTGTTCTCTCACTCAGGCCTCAGACCTCCCTCCGTCTCTCCTGCAGTCGCTTAGCAATTTCAGTTCAGTTACCATCTGGGGTCGCTCCTGAAGTTCCTGGGACATGATCATGGCCGAGGGCGGGGCTGTGGGGGGCATGTCACCAGAAGTGACAGAAGTGTCCGCAGCCCTACGGGATCCAGACAGAGGGGCAGCGCGCCCCCTGCTGGAGGAAAGGACCAGGGGAGGCTCCCGTAACTTCAGGGAGGCCTGGCTCTCCATTGCATCACCTAGCAGCGGTTCTCAACCCGTGGGTCGCGAACAATGAAACTACATCCTGCATATCAGATATTTACATTACGATTCATAACAGTAGCAAAATTACAGTTATGAAGTAGCAACGAAAATAATGTTATGGTTGGGGGTCACCACAACATGAGGAACTGTTTTAAAGGGTCGCGGCATCAGGAAGGTTGAGAACCACTGAGTCCTAATGAGAAGCAGGGACCACCCAGCCCCCAGAGATAGGCCAGCTTCAGGTGTCCCTGTCGTGGCAGGCTGATGCCTGCCTTAATCCTCACCTGCAAATATTTTTCCATTGATTTTTGGAGAGAGTGGAAGGGAGGGAGAGAGACAGAGAGAGAAAAACATCGATGTGAGAGAGACACATCAATTGGTTGCCTCCCACACACTCCCGACCAGGGTTGGAGATCGAGCCTGCAACTGAAGTACATGCCCTTGACTGGAATCGCACCCAGGACCCCTTGGTCCACGGGCTGATGCTCTAGCCACTGAGCTAAATCAGCTAGGGCATGGCTGCCCTCTTCAGCAACCACCCCAACCTGCAGCTCCAGAGCGGCTGCCAAGAGGAGCCCACGGCATGCAAGGTTGCAGATGAGCTGGGCTGGCCCCACCCCCACCCGGTAGCTCGCACTCACTGACGCCCAGGGCAAGGTCCTTGTTGCTCCCGGAAGGGAAGTAGTGTCTCCTGAAGCAGGTGGAAGGTCCTTCTGGCCCAAGACTGGGCTGGGAGACAGGGAACACCATTCATTTCTCACTTCTCTCTCTCTCTCTCTCTCTCTCTCTCTCTCGACATTCACAAAGGTACTGAAAAGTTGCAAGTACAATACAACAACATTTCCCCCCTGAATCATCTGAGAGTAGCTGCCACGGGCTCTCTCATCACCCCTGGAGACTTCCGTGTGGTTTTCCTGTACCAGGATACAACCGTCAGAGCCAAGGCATTAACACGGACACATTGCTACCCCCTAAAGTTAGACCACATTTACCTTTCATCAGTTGTTAGCATTTTTAACTAAAGGATCCAGTTCGGAGCCACGTGTGGCATTTGGTTTTATGTCTGTCATGTCTGGAATAGGACCTCAGTCTTCCCTTGACATGACATTGACACTTTTGAAGATTTGGGTCAGTTATCTGGTATTGGTTCTACAGAAATATCAACAAGATGGGATGCTGTGTTCTTCTCAATGTGGCCTATTACTGATGATGTTTCTTTTTTTTTTTTTTAACATGTTTTTATTGATTTTTTGGAGAGAGAGGAAGGGAGAGAGCGAAACATCAATGTGAGGAAACAACACTGATCCATTGCCTCCTGTACGTAACAACCTGGGCATGTGCCCTGACCGCGGGAATCGAACCGGCAACCTTTTGGTGCCTAGGATGATGCTCGCCCAACGGAGCCACACTGGCCAGGTCAGATGATATTTCTCTTGATTAAGGTGGTGTCTGCCAGGTTCCTCCACTCTTCAGTTCCTCTCCACTCCCTACCGGACGCTGTCAGGATACCCTCCGTGCCCTGCCTTCGCACCAGGCCAACCTCAGGTGAGCCTCCTTCCACCTGGCGAGGGTTCTGACACCTGCTCTGGGCACCATCTCCCTTTCTACCTAACGGCTTTAGGACTGAATTGTTCAGGAAGAGGAAGGGGAAAATGGGGAGAGAAAGAGCCTTCCTTCATTGTTCAAAGTGACCAATAGTGATGAATAATAACAACCACTAACAGTAACCAGCGCACGGTGCCAGGCACAGTCCAAGCACTTTAAGTCTTGTGAACGCATCTAATTTTCATAGCTGCCTCTGAGGTAGGGACGCTGTTAGCCACACTTCACACACAGAACGGAAACACTCAGAGATGACGTCACTGGCCCAGGGGCGCCCAGCAGCTGGCAGACCAGGGTTTGATCCCAGTAGCCTGGCATCTGGCTCCAGAAAAAGTGCTTTGAGTCAACCCAGTCCACCCACCTCCACCCCCGCCCACCCCGCAGGACTCCTCCAGAGAAACTGTTCTTGCTTTGGCCACCTGTGATGTCCAGGTTCCCAAATCCAACGGGCAGGGGTCAGTCCTCACCTTAGCAGCTGGCTACTCCCTTCTTGAAGTGGCCTTTCTGCTGATCCCATGGTAGCCTGCTGCTGGTTTTCATCCCGCTGTCTGACCACGCTTCCCCAGGCTCCTTGGCCAGCTCCTCCCACTTCTCTCTCTTCCTCTTGGGATTCTAATGGCTCAGGGCTTTGGCTCAAGTTCATGTCTCATTCTCTTTTCTCACATATTCCCATGTCTGTAAATATCACTTGTGTGCTAACAATGTTGATATTGGCCTTTCATATATATTACATTTATTATTATTTATTTAGCCCAAGTAAATAAATAAATAATGAGTTTGAGCTTCCAAACTCATGTTCAGCTGCCTATGTAGCAAATCTGCGTGGTTCTCTCTCTTCAAGGCCTATTGGACTCAACAGGTCCGAACCGAGCTATTGATCTTCTTTCCTTAAACTTGCACCTCTCTTGGTTTTCCTCAAATGAATACAAATGTCACCACCACCCAATGGGCAGCTTGCAGCCACCACTGTCTCCTCATTACGCCCTCAGTCACTACTCCCTTTTTTAAAGTTTTTATTGATTGGGGGGGGGGGTGGGAGGAGAAATGAAGGGAGAGGGATAGAGAGAGAAACATTAATGATAGAGAAACATCATCAATTGGTTGCCTACTGCACACCCCCTACTGGGGATGGAGCCCGCAACCCGGGCATGTGCCCTGACCGGGAATTGAACTGGTGACCTGACATTTGGTACACAGAATGACACCCAACCAACCAAGCCACACCAGCCAGGCTGTTTCTCTCCACTCTTACTACCGAATTCCAAGCCACCCTCATGTCTGTTCTGGACCCACCAACATTCTCCCGCTAGTCTCTGCTTCACTCCTGCCTCCCTCATATCCCTCCTCCACACGGCGGTCAGGGATCTTGGAGAACATACCATCCAATCCTATTCCCCGCTTCCCCCTGGGCTGAGACGAAACACCCATTTCCTTGGCTCACAGCCCTGCATAGAGTGGCCCAGGACTGCTGGTCCAGCTTCATCTCCTGCCCCTGCCCCCCTTGCCCACCACACTCCAACCACACCTGGTTCCCAGGACGAGCCTCCTGCCGCCGGGCCTGCGACCACACAGTTTCCTCCCACTGGTACTCATCCTTCAGGTCTCAACGCCAATGCCAGCTCCGCAGGGAGACCTGCTCCGCTCTCCATTCCCGACCTCAATCTGGTTCCCTCATTGCTTTCTTTCATAAAATTCAGCACATTCTTCATAAGACTTAGCACATTTTGTCTAATAAAATGTTGGCTTGCCACTGGGCTCAGCCCTCTTCTCTCTATAGTTTTAGAAATATGAAGACCAGTTGTTCTCCACTGTGAGGGGTGGTTCTGTTTCTCAGAGGACATTGGGAATGTCTGGAGACTTTTTTTTTTTAAATCCACACCTGAGGCTATGTTTCCACTGATTTGAGAGAGAGAGAGAGAGAGAGAGAGAGAGAGAGAGACATTGATCAGTTGCCTTCCATACACGCCCCAACCGGAAGTCAAATCTGCAACCTAGATATGTGCCCTGACTGGGAACTGAACCCGCGACGGGACTATGTCCAGCCGCCGGAGCCATCTGGCCAGGACTGGAGACAGTTTTGATGGTCACAACTGGGAATGTGAGTGTAATCCTGGCATCCAGTGTGTAGAGGCCAGAGATGCTGCTAGAATCCTACAATGCCCAGGGCAGAGAACACAACCAACTTACCCTGCCCCCGAATGTCAGTGGTGGGGAGGCTGGGAAACTGCCCAGATGATCTCATGGAGTCCTGTGCCTTTAAATGTCATCTCTATGTGGGCAGCTCCAAAATTCCCCTCTCTGTCCATCCCAGACTCATATACCTGGCTACCCACTTGACATCTCACCTGGATGCCTAATACCAGCCCATCAAACTCAACATGCCCGCTCCCCCTACTCACACCTTCTAGTTGCTCAACATGCCCGCTCCCCCTACTCACACCTTCTAGTTGCTCAACATGCCCGCTCCCCCTACTCACACCTTCTAGTTGCTCAACATGCCCGCTCCCCCTACTCACACCTTCTATTTGCTCAACATGCCCACTTCCCCTACTCACACCTTCTAGTTGCTCAGGTTAAAATATTCCTGACTTTTTTGTTTCACACTCCGCATCCAATCCATCAGCGAATCCTTTCAGCAGTTTCCTCAAAACAGACTCACTCAGCATTGGTCCCTTCCCACCAGGTCGCTGCTGCCGCCACCTTGGCCTCCTCCAGCAGCTCCTGTTCCCCCACTCTAGGCTGTCAGTGGGGATAAGTATGCTCACTGACTGTTGTGTACTCTATGCCCAGCACAGTGCGTGGCACAAGAGGAAACACATCTGCCCAGTGAATGAATGAGTGTCACCTCCAGGTCACAGATGAGACACCGGGGCTCAGAGGCTTTAAGTAACTCCCCCAAATGAAACTCACGGAACCAGTTCCCACGCCTCCCAGACCTGCAGACGACTCCACTGCTCACTCCAAAGAGAGGGAGAGATGGTTTGGGAGTGAGGATATGGGGGTTTGGGGAGTGGTGTTGAGTTTATTTTCTGGTAGGAAGGGACCCAGGGCCATAGGAGACCCTAGGAAAGTTTTGGGGGAAAGATGTCTGAATGGGCAACGGCCTCCTGGGTCCACCTTTGCAGCACCCCAGGTTTAAGAACCCCGAGTGGAAAGGCACCAGCTGGGGTGTGAACCTGCCAGTTCCCCCAACACCAGCCTTTGACTTCCTGGGGGCCTGGAGCCACCCCTCAGCCCCTGGCAGCCGAGGAGCCACACCTGGCCATGGCCCTGCTGCGCGGAGGATGCCAACACAGCAGCTCCGGGCCGCTGGCTCCAGAGGTCACCTCACAGACTTCCCACAAAGAGATCCCAGCTGGGAGGGGCACCTCGGCCCCCACCTCGCCTAAACGCCCCGCTCCAGCCCAGCCCCCCACAGCAGGGCCCCCCACACTCACTCTGCCATTCGGTGATGGAGATCATGCCGCAGGCTGCCTGGGGGGCCTCCTGGGTTCAAGCTGGCCGGGGCGAGGAGTACCGAGATCCAAGCTTGTACATGCTCAAGGGAAGCTGACCCTTGGTAAGTTGTGAAAGGAGCCTCCGGTAAATCATTAACTCTCCACACACACCCACACTCACACACACTCACACTCACACACACACACACACACACACACACACACACAAATGGCTGTTGAAAGTCACAGGCTCCCTTCCCCTGGCTCCTCCCAGGGGGCACTGTCCCTCCACAGGCTGGCCCCCTGGAGCATCTCATATCCCACCTGACGTACAGGGTCCCCTCTCCCCCCACCTCCCTGCCTTCAGGTCGAGTTCAGTGCTTTCTACCCTCTGCACAACGTGGACTGTACATAAAAGAACGGAGACCAAGGAGTGCCCAGGCTCCTGACTGGGTTTGGAGTGTGTGTGGGAAGAGCTGGCATCTGTGTTTCTCTTTGGAAAAGTACGAAATTCATCTTGTATACAGTTGGCTTGTTTTGTGCTTAGTACCCAGGCTATACCCTAGGGGGCGCCAAGCAACTGAGTAAAACCTGTTGCTGCTGGTCTCCTGGGAGTGCCAGACAGAGTTAGACACAAGGGCTCCACCTCCTCTTCCCCTGCTTTGGACCGTGGGGTTGAGCTACGGGAGATAAAAGGTGAATTTGGCCTTGGGGGAGGGCTGGACTGTCGAGGAAGTCTGGTTCCAGTCTACCCAGCAGGTGAGCAGTCACGGGTGCATCCTTCCCTCCCTCTGGGCCTGAAGAGAGAGGGGTGGGGAGCTCCGAACACCTTCCTCCCACTGTAGAGCAGTGGTCCTCAGCCCCATGAGAGCCAGCATCCCTTTTAGAATGTCCCCTCTCCCCTGAAATGAAGTCCACAGATGACATGGCTAATCTACAGACATCCTTTATACAAATGCAAGTAAAGCTAGTTATAACAAAGAGAAATAATGTAGAATAAAACACAATGTCTCTCAATGTATAAATGCACAGGCAAGACTTACTGGAAGACATAAACGGCGTAGGCAGATTGCCTGCACCTGCTTATAATAGATTCGAATTTACGGGAAACAGAAGACTAGAGCCATTATGTGATTTAAAACAAACCCACAAGAGTAACAGGGAGTAAATACTAGAATAAAAATGAATGCTAGGTGGGTAAGAACAGACCGGATGTCCTTGCAGATAAAAAGAGAAAGAGGGATAGGACCTAAATTAAGTAGGACGAGAATGCAAGGCAAGTGAGGGAGGGCCCCGTGGAGCAGAAGGAAGCAGCGTGAATGCCCAGGCGCTGGTCCTCGCTCCCTGTCATGGCAGGGAATGGGGAAATGGTGGCGTATCACAGACACACAGATCCGTCCTGAAACTCCACCGTGTGTTCAGGTAAAATCCCATTTGGAGGATCTTAAAGGCCTTGGAGCTCACATATTTCCGAGAGGTGATGGGAACAGAGGATGGATTGGAAAGAGAAATGGTGAGATAAGTGGTTCAAAGCAATTGCATGCGGAGCCCTGGGACAGTATGAGAGGAAGATAAAAAACCAACAGGCAACGCCCCCAAACAACTCCACAGGCAATCCTGACAACATGGGTGTGCATTCCTGGGCTGCGAACTCTTTAAAAATATACAGGTTACCGGTAATAGGAAATAACTTCTAAAAACATTTATCCAAGAGATCCAAAGAGATCCCCCGCATTTCAAGTAACTTTGCTTTAACGCTGTTTGGTTCTCTCAGATCTCCTCTGTTAAATATTTATATTACATTCAGTGTCTACTTATTCAGCAAGACCCTCCTGCACTGGAGTCATTTTCAACCAGACATACCGGGCTGAAACGTTAGAATGGATTGTGTAGGCAATGCAGGCGGTAGATTATTCAATAATTTTGAGACGTCTTTATTCCATTTAAGTGCCTGCTCCTTAATAAGCATCTCCTAACTTATTGAGCTTTCATGAAACTTATAAAAAACTTAGAGGCTTATAAAAACTCTTCAGTACTGTTCTGAATTGCACGACTCATACGGAAGCTGGTGTAGCCCCCTTGCACGTTATAACGGTGTGCAGGACACAGGACCAAGACTTAATGTGGAAATCTGCCTGTGCATTGCCGCCACTGAACGCCAGCAAGAGTTTTACCCCCTTAGGCCCCCCACCCCCCCGCTAATTTCCAGGTGGTGTCACCCTCATTGAAACCACTGGTAAGTTGCCCTACCCGGTTTGGCTCAGTGGATAGAGCATCAGCCTTCGGACTGAAGGGTCCCAAGTTTGATTCTGGTCAAGGGCATATGTCCCGGTTGCGGGCTTGATCCCCAGTAGGGGACGTGCAGGAGGCAGCTGATCAACGATTCTCTCCCATCATTGATGTTTCCCTCTCTCTCCCTTCCTCTCTGAAATCAATATAAATATATTTTAAAAAAGAAAAGAAACCACTGGTAAGTTAAGAGCTTAGGCTCTAGAGCACCCCGGGCCTCATTCTAGGTCCCCGAGACCTGGACATTTTGTGCCCTTTCTGTGCCCCAGGTCCTTGGGTAACGACAGTACCGTTCACATAGAGCTATAACGAGGATCAGAGTAAATTCATGCGATGGGCAGAGAACCGGGCACTGGCCCTGGCACACACTTCATGAGCCATTGTTATTATAACTATTTTCTCGGATAGTTATAACAATTACTATTGTCATTAATATTTCTGCTATGAGTACACTAACAAATACTCTTCCATGGAAGACTTCTCTCATCGGAACTTGTGGTTCTAAACTGCTCCCAGGGGTGAGCAAACAGCAGCGTTGAATTTCTCCCCCACCATGGAGCTCACCTGTGAGCTCAGAACAAACTCTCCTGGATCTGGGCCCTCCTGGCCCGAGTCCCAGATGGCAGCACTGGGCACTGGAGCCGGGCCCAGCGTGGTTGCCCACTGCCCACCCTCCTGAGAGGAGCCCCTTCACATGGGCAACCCTGGGAGGAGGATGCAGGCCCTGGAAGGCTGGGGCTGGCCCTCAGCCTATGGCCTGGCTGCGTGGTGAAGGCCTGGGGGAGAGCCCTGGGCCTGGGCTGGAGGAGTCGAATTGGACAGGGGAAGGAGCACTGAACGGCAGGAGCCCTGGTGACATCTAGCAGCAAAGGGGAGACCTCAGGACACATTCTCCCTCTCCCCTCATCCCCGCAGGCAGCTGAGCGACCGCCACAGCAGCATCCTCCACCCCCGACATTTGTAAGTGACTTCAAGCTTATTTTTTAATAGATGTATATTTTTATTGATTTCAGAGAGGAAGGGAGAGACAGAAACATCACTGATGAGAGAGAATCGTTGATGGGTTGCCTCCTGCACGCCCCACACTGGGGATCAAGCCCACAACCTGGGCCCTGACCTGGAATAGAACCGTGACTTCCTGGTTCATAGGTAGATGCTCAATCACTGAGCCATGCCGGCCGCATTCAAACTTTCAGTGTTTTTCTTCTGTTTTCTCATTGGAACTTCCTGAGGGCTCTATAAGATGGTATTAATACCCCCATATCACAGATGAGGAAACTGAGACGCAAGGATCCTAGTGACTTGTGCAAGTCTTCATGGCGCTACAAGGAGCCGAGGAGGTGAGCCTGACATCATCTCTGGGATCCGTCTCAGCGACGTGGGGCCAGTTCTTCTCTGGAGGCCGCGGGGTGGGAGGTGCAGGTGGCCTGGTTCCACGGCGGCAGCGGGTGGAAGCCCGGCTCCTTCCTGGCACTGACACGCCCTCTTTAGGAATGAATGGCCGCGCAGTCAGAGCACCGCTCCGAAAGGGCCTTCTGCTAGTTGCTGCTTTACTTGACAGCCCCAGCCTGGCTCCCTCTGAGGGCTGTGTGGGCCCCGAGGTGGGGCAGACAGGGACCTGTGGGCATCATCCCTGGAGAGGAACCGGCCTTGTTGGTGGGTACAGTGGTGCCCGTGGTGCTCCCACATGCCTCCTCCTCTCCAAGCCGCGGGCTCTGGCCTGGGTGGGGCTGCCGATACTGAGGCAGCCCCGAAACGGACAAGTTCTCCACTACGCCTTCCCAGCCCTAAGGCCTCGGTCTTGAGTCTACATCTGGTCCCAATTCTCCCCGATTCACCAAGGATATCAGGGTCTATAGTGCTCCCCAGGATGTTACAAAGTCCCCAAAATAGTCACTTTATTTGTACTCTACTAGCCCTTTAGGGATGAGGATAGGTGTCCAGGATTCAAAATCAGCCATTAGAACCAGCCAAGGCAAAACCGGCAATTAGAGGAAGCTCACCTTCCCATCTCCTCTTTCTCAATGTTCTTCTTTTCCCTGAACCACCGACACCTCCCTCTCCCCCCAGATATCCTGCTTCACTCCAGCTGGGCCGGCCACAGCCTGGGTTCATGTTCTCTTCCCACCCCCCACCCCACAGAATTACAGGGCTTCTGGACTCTGATGGTTCACAGAGATTTCAAACTGAGAAGCTTTAGTTCAGTCTTTCACACTGAGTGCCAATAACCGATAACCACCGAGTTCCTACTAAGAGAAATGGACCAAAGGCACTGAGGCTGGATGCAAAGAATTTGAGTGGCCTTTCTGTCCCCCCGCCCCCCCGCGCCCCCATCATATACCTTCTTGTCCCTTACAGCAGAAATACAGGGCATCGTGGTCACCGAGAAAGGCTGAGAGTGACTGTTCTCCTACAGTCCTACCCTCAGCCTCGGAGACCCAATCAGGGGAGGTTCCAGGGCCCGGAGCGTCTGATGCCCCCGGTATACAGACCTAAGCACAAGCCTTGATCTGGGGTCACCCGAGCCAAGATGATGATGGTATTGGCAGCGTAGCATCATCCCCGGGGCACAGGGAGGTGGCACTCTGTCGAGAACTCTGGGATAGCTGCCTGGGAGGGAGGGGGAGATGCAGCTGGGGGCAGAGGGAAGGGGGTGGCGGTCCACGTGCTTTGAACCTGCCCTGCTCTTCGGGAAGGCCTGGCCCCAGACCCACCGTAAATGGCCATGAACCCCGAGGCCAGCCACAGGCAGACACGGACACAGAGGGCAAGACACGCACCACTTGTACAAACCATTTTATTTCCGGTGTTGGCTTTATACAAACTTACAATATACAAATGCGGAGCTCACGGGGGCTCTTCAGCTGCTGAGCGCGGACCCCAACTCTAGCCTGTCCGGCAGGTGCCCCCTCCCCGGGAGGGGCTTCGGCTAGAAAGATGCCCGGGGGCTGCTACAGCTGCCGGTCCCCTGGCAGAGATGCTAACTAACCTGAACTCTTCTTCTAAGGTCACTTTTATGCTAAATAAAGACACTGAGATCAGACATTTCCTTGTATAGTTTATTGTCTAATACTAGCAAATCAGATTGGCCCCAATATGTGCATAAATAGATATATGTATATATATATAGGTATGTATATTTCATATTTTTCCTTAGTTTTAAGAGCTTCCAGGTGGGGGTGCCTGAAGGGGAAAGGAATTGGGTTCCTCTTGCTATAGTCAGCCCTGCACCAAGAACACGCCTTTCGCCAAGGCAGAAGGGCAAGTGTGCACAGCTTGCAACCTCAGAAAAATCTTTAAAGTGACAGTAGCAATATCTGATTGCAGCCTCTCGGTTATTGATCAAGGAGGTCATGTGCTAATTGGGAAGGCTCTAGATCAGTAACCAGGAGTGCACCCAGGTGGGTGTCTCAGCCCTGGGCCTCCATCTGGGCCCCATCCATCCGCAGCCGGATGCGCGAGGCTGGACGCAGGGGCCGGTAAGTGGTCAAGCTGGCAGGCCAGGCTTCCAATGCTGGCCGGGAGCTCTGCGCCAGGTCCCAAACCCCCGGATTCCAGACCTGGACAAAAGACTCCCATCCTGCCCAGATCCGTACAAGGCAAGAGCCCCTTGCCCACTTCCAGGGGACAAGCAGTTTGCAAGACTGAGCTGCCTCAGTCCGGCAGCCCAGGGGCAGCGGCTCCTGGCAAGGCTGAGCTGCTACATTGTCCGTGGGACCCTCCTCAGCCCAGAAGCGGACTCCGCAGTCTGGATGCCAGACCGAGGTGCCAGGCCCTGAGGAGCAGCCCCCAGAAGGAAGGTCACAGAGTATAACAGGTGCCATCGACGCGACCCAGAGCAGAGAGAGGCCACGTGAAAAGGAGTGTGGGAAGTCGTCCAAGGAACTCAAACACGTCTGCGCTGAAGGGCCAGGGATCCCAGACCACTTCCTTGGGCCTTTGCACCATATCCTGGGTCCGTCAAGGGACAGACTGACATTCATGTTTGGCACAGGCGGCCATGAAACTGCCTGCCCCCTGCAGCAGGTGATGGGGGGTCTGGGAGCACATCGCTGGGAGGGGCCTGCGTGGGTGCCCCTGTGCACACACCTAAACGCTTTCTTCCATAGGATTCATACCCGAGAACTCTAGCGGGTCATCAAGAGCGGTCAGTGTAACCAAATCCTCAGACCAGGACTTCCGAGAGCACGTCCTGCCCTGGGGAGATGCTCTGGGGAGGGCTCTGGGGACCAGCCCTCTGCAGACCGGGCAGTGGGAGGGAGGGAGCAGCTGGGGGCGGGGGCGGGGCGGAGGCTGGACCTAGAGGCAGTCAGTCACCCCAGTCTCCTCCGTTGTTGGCCAGTTCCATTTAGACATTGCACATGTGAAAATAGATTTGCTTCCATAATAAAAGCGTAAAATAGATCTGTCTTAAAATAAGTCTCTCTCTCCCCTTCTTTGGATCCAAGGCATGGGGTGTAGCCGCGTCATGCTAGGAGTGGCGTGGAGAGTAAAGGAGAGAAGACAGGCCTGGGCAGGGGTTCTAGGCAAGGGTCCGACACCCAAACCGATATGCATCTTACATATAAACCTATAGTATGTATAATCTTCATAAAACATATATTAAGGCATGTAAAGCAACATAAAGGGCCAGCTTTATGAAATAGGAGGTGAGAGAGGTGACAGACGAGCAGACATTGATCCTTGGTATTTTCCATGTATTTCTTAAAAATATCACTTTAAAAAAAGGAGAGACAGATAAAGGAAGGGGAAGGCATGGAAGGCCCTAAAAAATCTGTGTCTCGTGGATGGAGAAAGGTGCGGGAACGAGGAAGAGCTGGGAGCCAACCCCACCTGCCAGTCTGTGGGGGGAGAAAGGACCGTTTGGGATGCTCGAGCTGCGCTAACGACGGAAAATGTAGCCAAAAGCCTGTCACCAGTGAAGACAAATGGAACCCTCCCGTCTGTAATCCCTCAGAAGCAACTATCCTGAGCACCTAGGACAGTGCCTGGTACATAAACGGTGCTCGATAAATATTTGTTGTTGAATGAACTGTCACCTTTACTTGCATATGAACCAGTAACTGCCCCAGCCGTGAAGGAGTGAAGAACTGGGGGGAGATAAAGGAGTTGTTCTTAGGGCGGCTGAAGGTCAGGCTGGAGTCTCAGGCAGCAGCTCTTGCAAAGAGGAGGCCTAGGAGCCAGACTGTCCAGCCGCACTCTCTCTCCTCCCTCCTTCTGGCTACATTCATCTCATGGTGGGTGGAGCAGAAGAAGAATGAGTTTGCTTCTGTCTCTCCCGCACTGGCCTCCCTGTCAGGTGGATCCCGAAAGAGTCAGCCAGAGGGAGTCCTTGGTACAGCCTCCACCGGTCCTCGTCTGGGGGGCCGGGGTGTGCGGCGGGGTCCTGGCATCTGGCCTCCCAGCTGAAGACTCATTCCCTCTCCCCGGGCACACTGGCAGCTGGCCCACAGCACATGCCAGAAAATGCCGCCAAAATGGTGAGGAGACGGCACCCAAGGCTGACCACACCCTGCACAAGACAGATCCTTCTCTCTGCCCCCCCCCAGCCCAGTACCGGAGGCAGACACCAGGCCCAGGCATACACAGGCCCTTGTGTGTCCCAAGACTGTCGTACCCAGCCACCTCATCCCCCATCCACCCCCATGCCAAGCACTTCAGCTGAAGGCCACCGTGTGCTCACTGATGGGGCCTCCTGTGGCCTCGGCATCGGCCTGGAGACAAGGTGGGAAGTGCCAAGCCGACAGTGTGGCACGGGACTTGGCACCAGGCTAAGGCTCACCCCGGGAAACCATTCCTATCCTCTCTCCATCTCTGTCCTCTTACTTGCGAATGAGCCCTGCTGCTTCTTTCCCTTCCTTTCCTAGGACCTCCCTTCCTTCTCCTCCCGCTTCCCAACCTCCCCAGACACTGCCCAGACCTGCTCTCTATCCCAGCCTGCCCCGTCCCCCGGGGAGCCAAGGCGCCTCGCCCCATCTCTTGTCATCTTGTCTTTGGCTCGGACAGGGTGGTTAGTCTCCACGGGACCGCAAAGGGCACCCATAGCAGGGATCACAGCCCCGGGCACAGCGGGGGCCACAGGGGGGTGGGGGCTGACGGGGAGGGGATGAAGGCAGGTGCTGTCCTCGGTGTCAAGGAGGGTGGGAAGAGGCAGGTGTCCCTCTGCTCCTCACCTCTCGTCCTAACCTAAGATGGTCCAGAGCATCTTCCCCACCAGGGCGTCTTCTCCATCAGGGAATGTTCCAGTAGGGCCATCACCACCCCAGCCATCAGGCCTGGGTGTCCTGTGACTTGGGCATCAGACAGGATGCTTTCTGCTCCATCTCAGGCCCAGGTTTAGGACCGGAGGGACCTCATCTGATCAGCGAGGGCTTTGGGGCCGAAGCATCCGTGCTCCATTCTCTGCTCAACAGCAGCCCTGGCCCTCAGCCTGGCTCTTCGCAGTTTTCCCAGGAGAGCAGGGGGCTGGGCTGGGGAGGGGTCCGGGGCCTCGTGGCAGGGCTTCAGAAGGTGGCTCTGTGGAGCTTCGCAGCGGTGGCCTCCGCCAGGGCTTGCACTGAAGAAGAGGGACATCGGTGAGAAAGGGGCCGCACAGGGCAGACTCCAGACCCTTTTCCCAGGAGCGAGACTCTGGTCAGACCTCGAGGGCCGGCCCCTCCCTCACCCCGAGAGAGGAGAAACAGAACGCAGTCAAGTGCTCCCGGCTCGCCTGGCACTGAGCGCCCTGTGCTGGGGGAAAGGACGGGCACAGCCTTTGGCTAGAGAGCCTGACGTCATTTTAATTTACAGTGAGGTCTGGGATCAGTAAGATCTGGGCAAAACAGCTTCTGGGTGCTCCTGAGGCTGGGAACCTCACAGGAGCTCCAGGGGAGGGTGTCTGGGAAGTCCCCTCCGGACAGTGGACAAGGGAGGCCTCAGCTCTGTTCCATCTGCTTCCGGAGAAGCAAAGCCCATGGCATTGGCGTGGCAGCTCCAAGCAGCCGCCCTGCCAGCCGGCACCGGGACCCAGCATGGGGACGCCGGGCTCAAGCAGCGGGGTGGCGGGGGAGAGCGACCAGGCACCGGGCGGAGGGGAGAAGCCATGCCGGAATGAGAGGGTGCAGATGGCTCAATGGGGGTGAGGGCAGGGGCCCCCCTCCCTGGGGTGGAGGAAATACAGTAGAAAAGTGCTTACGTCCGAGCTCAGACCCGCATGGCATGGCTGCTGTCGGTGCCCCGTGGGGATTCAGACGAGAGGGGGTTGGCTGGTGAAGTCGGGGAGGCAGGGGAGGTGGGAGGGCTTGGGGTGGCACATTGCACTGGAAACAGAAATGAACAGGGAGGTGAATGGGGGGGGCGCGGTGGCGGGGAGCAGGCAGGTCTTGCCCCAGAGGGCAGAGAGCAGGGCAGGCGACAAGCAGAGAGAACAGCGGAGCCTGGGGACCTGCCCAAGCTGAGGCAGAGTGGCCTATGGGGCGCTGGGGTGGAGAACATGGCCCCGGGGCAGACCTGGCCAAATCCAGGCTCTGCTGGGACCCAGGGTGGCTGCGGCTGGGGCCAGGCCTGGCCTCCGGGCCCAAGGCTCCCCTCCCACCAACAACGGGGAAGTTGGCACAAACCTCCATAATGTGCGCAGGGAATGGGGTGGCGCCTTTCCTAGGGGTATAGCGCTCTGCTAATGATTAGCAGCGCAGGAAAGTCACTAATCCAAACCACCGGCCCCCCCTTATGATGATCGAAGTGAGGTGATCACCATGTTAACTGATTCCTTTAAAAAGGAGGCTTCTGAGAGGCTGAAAGCGAGTTCTGGTAACTGTGCCCTGCCCTAGCTGATTTGGCTCAATGGATAGAGCGTCGGCCTTTGGATGGAAGGGTCCCAGGTTCGATTCCGGTCAAGGGCACTTGCCCGGGTTGCAGGCTCGGAGATTCTCTCTCATCATGGAAGTTTCTATCGCCCTCTCCCTTCCTCTCTGAAATCAATAAAAATGTATTTTTTTTAAAAAGGAAAGAAATGTGTGCCCTGCTGGTTGAGACTGTGCACAATCCAGTGACGGCAAACTGCCATCGACCCCTGAACAAATCTACGAGCCTTAAGGTGCTGACTTTGAATCAATGAGATTTTACTCTATTGTCATCATTATTTCATGTTGAGAACAACGAGACGTTGCATTGTTAGGGACCAGCTCTATGCAATCCTGGCCCTTGTGCACCTGCAGCCCAGCTGCGAGGCAGGAGGGAGCAGAGCAAATGTCCTCACTGTGGCTCAGAGCAGAGCCAGGCCCCGCCAGGGTCTCACGTTTACTCTGAGAGAGGGATCTGGGCGGTAAACTTCGGCTCCCTGCCCGCCCCCTGCCCTGGACCTCGTCACCTTCCCTGCCCTGTGCAGGAGACAGGGCCAGCGCACCGCCCATCACATATGTGCACACCCACACACATGTACCGAAGACATGGAGCAGGAAGTCGTGTCTGCCCACACACAGCACGGACTTTGTGCATGGGATGCAGCTAAACCGTATCCTTCCTTACTGCACACAACTCAGATTCGTGCGCGCACACACACATACATGGCCCAGCACACCTATAACTTCACATTCAAACGCATTCACAGATGCTTTCGAAACACACATTCCTGTGCATGTCTGCATCGCGATGGTGAGCTCTCTGGCAACCTTGGTTTCTAAAACAGTCAAAAACTCAAAAGCTAAGAAAGGACCATCTCAAGGAAGCCAAATGGATGTTACAATGTACATGCAGGGAGTTCTTCCAGTTACTCGGGGAGGCGCTCCTTGGAGTCCAGGGACCCTGAGTTACGCACGACTCGAAGGTGCTGACTGGCTGGGGTTCCAGCCGGTGGGAGAGTGAAAACAAGAAAATTAGAAAAGAAAGAGGAATTGAGGGACCCATGACATCCATAAGAAGGCCCAACCGAAGAGAGAAAATCTTTGGCAGAAAGTAGACATAACTTTAAAAGTGTGACAGCTTGGGAGCATTTAACGTAGCTACAAACAGGTCTGAACCATTTAGAACCCCTCAGGGCAACCCTTGACAGAGGCCAGCTAAGTAAGGCTATTTTTAATGACACTAAAGCAGTAAGAGCAAGCAAGACTAATTATGTCAAATAGAACCTTTTTAAAAAGGCAGAGAAATATTAGAAATACAGCCATTGAAATAAAGCTCACATATGCAGCAGGTATGTACTGGACAGATGTGGTATTATAATTGTGCTCACAAGTCCTGCCACATCTGCACGCACCAATAACCAGTCACACACACTCACATTCATGAGACCTCCCCCCACACCCCACGCAGACAGATGTTCACAAATATTGCAATATATACACCGTGCACAAAATATACACAAACGTTTTTATCATCCCCCGTTCTGCAAACAAAGCCAATCACACACGAACACATGCATAAACACTACCTCCATCCTGTATTGGGCCCCCTAGACACATATACCTACACTCCGACAGCTCAGCACATACACCTGTGCTCACACATAACCGGTCTCCACACAACACCCGGAGACATTTTGCACACACGTACACACATACACACACACTCCTATATTTGTACTCAAACATTCCCTCCCCGACACACCACACACTGGAATGCACACAAATACATGCGCATCTACACACAATACTGACTCAGACACTGTACATGACCTCATGCCATGTCCACGACCTGAAAACTGCCACGCCTTCCGCCATAGTGCGGACTTGTGTCCGTGCGCACTGGGTGTTCGTGCCCAAGCTGCCACACACGTCACTGACCACACCATCCGTGCCGCACACCCACACTCAGGCACTGTCCTCCCGCCCGTGCCCAGCACCCCATGCACACAGGCCCCCAGCATGGACGTTGCCCACACTAGGTGTGCCCAGGAACAGTCCTCGCTGTGCCTGGCAGATCAGCCGCTCTGGGCACCTGGACCATAGACTACGGGTGGTGGGGACAGTGGGCGAAGTCTGAGGTCTGGCCTCCCACAGCCATTTTTTAAATAGTTGGGGTTTGGGCAAAACCCAGGGACCGTGTGCTCAGTGCACAGGCCCTGAAGTGTAAGCGGTGTGTGTGGAGGGAACCTGAGAGGCCCGGCGGGTTTTGTTTCCCTGGGACCTTTGGCTGGGGAACTGTAGGAGAGAGAGCCAGGGGCTGGGGCAGGGGCGGAGGGAAGGATTAAGAACAATATTGTGCTCTAACCTCGAAACAGGAAGTTTCCCTTTGCCCAGAGCGGGTGGAATTTGATCTTTGGAGGGTTCAAGTTCGTTTTACAGCTGAACTGCAGGAAGGTTTGACGGGGCCTCCTGGCGGCCAAACTGGTTCTGCTGCCTCTGGCTACAGCGTTTCCCTCGCCCTCAACTCCAGCCCAAAGGGTAGCCTCTCTCTGAAGTATCTCCAGGGGCTTCCGCAGGACACCCAGCTAATGTCCACTACACCCCAAGTGCCAGTAGGTTCTTCCTTACATCCTTATTGTACCCTAAAAGCTGCTGGTTTCTGAAAAGATCCATATTGAAAATAGCTACAAAAACACAAATGGCTCCTCTTCCTACGTCAGCCATTGATGTTTCAACGAGTACCAACTACCACCATCACCACCACCACTACTGCCCCAGCTGGCGGGAGCTTACTGAGCACGTACCGAGTGCCTGGCACTGTGCTAGGGGCCTAGCGCACACTGTGTCCGTTCCTCACACCACCACACCGGTGTCTTCATTTGAATTTTACAGAGGAGGGGCTGGAGCCTCAGGTAGCCAGAACTCAAACCCTCGTAAACGCTGCCATGAAACGCCATCCCCTCCACTGACTCCCACCCGGGCTGCTGTACCTGTGGCCCGTGCCCTGTCGCTGCTTCCTGGACCAAAGTCATCAAACCCAGCATCTTTCCGGGGCATCCGTCCTGACCGGCCCCCCAAAGCCCCCTCTGTTCCTCTCCCTCTCCATCCTAACCACCTTGTCTTGAGGGGAGACAACAGTTCATCTTCCAGCCTTCATGACTCAACACTGTCTCTCCTCCACCGTTCGTGCTCCCGTTCAGAAAGAATCCCTTTAATTCTTCCCACCTTCATTCATCTCGTTCTTGCCTATTATACTCTCGTCTCCTCCGGGCGATGTCTCAGGCCAAGGAGAACGAGTCCTGTTGACTTTGATCTCACGGTGTCAATGTGGGACCTGCTGCCCTTGGACCCGTGTGAGTCAGCCCCTCAGACTCATCTTTTCTTAGCAGCCAGAGGGGAAGTGAGCCCTCGCCGGCTTGGCTCAGTGGATAGAGCCTCAGCCCGAAGAATGAAGGGTCCGGGTTCGATTCAGGTCAAAGGCATGTACCTTGGACACAGGCTCGATGCGGGAGGCAACCATAGGTGTGTCTCTCTCACATCGATATTTCTCTCTCGCTCTCTCTCTCTCTCTCTCTCTCTCTGTCTGTCTCTCCCCTTCCCTTCCACTCTCTCTAAAAATCAATAAAAAAATATTCTTGGGTGAGGATTAACAAAGCAAAAAAGAAGAAGGGGAAGGGAAGGGTACCCTGGAATACCTGGCCCTCACCCCTCAACTGGTTAAATACTTTGATCTTTTCCAGTCAAGTCAGTTATCACCTTTCTCTGTGCTCCCCAACCTGCCCAGGTAGAGTGGCTCCCTGCGCTCCCTGCATGGCCGTGGCCATCCCGCTATACAGGGGCGAGGAGGGTTGTCACGGCTCTGCGCTCCTGCACCAGGAACTCTGGCCTCTGTGTGCCCTGAGCCTAGCACGGTACCTGGTGCCCAGTAAATGCTCATCCTGCCGCGCCCTGTTCCTCTCTAGCCCTGACCCCTGACAGCGCCGTGCCTCCTCCCCTACGTGGTCAGCCGTCTCCCTGGTGTCTCCCTGGCGGAGCGAGGCCCAGCCCCTCTCACCAGACAGCATGCGGCCCCTGCGGGAGGCCTCGGTCGCCAGGGCGCAGGAGATTTCAATCCGCTTCTCCTGCTCCTGCAGCTGGCTCTCTGAGTCCTGGGGCACGTCCACAAGGTCCCCCTCGCCGGCGGGCACCACGTTCTGCATACTGAGGAGGCACAGACACACAGACATGGTGGGGGGACAGGATGTCCTGTGGGGGGGACCTGTGGACTGAGGTTGGGGGGGGGGGTGCCAAGGGCATGTGCAGGCTCTGGTCCCCAGCAAGGCTGTCCCCAGGGATGAGGGGCCCTGGCACAACGCATGTTGGGACCCTTACCCACGATGCTTTACAATGAATTAGAAGGTTCAAGTGCACGTTTAGGGCTGCCGGGGAGGGGAGAAGTCACAGAGGCAGCCCCTCAGTGTGTCCGGATGAGAGCATGTGCGTGACCTCACGGTGCTCTGGGCACCACGGGCAGCCCCTTGCCCCACCGGAGGGCCAGGCCCAGATCGCTGCCCTGAGCCACTGCCTCCATTCGCTCCACTCTGGGGGAGGCTGGGGTCCCCTCGGACATGGGTTGGAGTGCTGGTGTCCTCGGTGCCAGGGGGGCAGAAAAACCAGAGGTTCCCCTAGGCCAGTTACCTGGACTTGGCAATGAGCGTCTTGATCCTTTCCACCTTCTTCTGCTTCTCCTTCAGCTCCTCGGGGCTCAGGGGCGTGTCTGGCTCCAGGTCGATGTACCGCTCAGGGATGAGGACTTTGTCGGGGGTGGAGAGCTGTGGAGGGACCACGTTCATCTCTCCCTCCGTCCCTCCCAGGGCCTCCGCTCGCCCCGCCCCCGGGACTCCACTCACCTCCTTGTTGATGTCCACGTCGTAGTGCTGGGGCTCCAGCTCCATCTTGCGAAGCCGGGCGATCTCCTCCCTCGGCGTCTCGTAGGCCTGCCCGCCAGGCTCCTCCGCCCGCAGGGCGGCCTCCAGGTTGGAGATGTCCACTTCATGGATGCTGCGGTGACGACGCACCTGGGGACGTGGGCACCTCCACTTCTACCCGTGCCTCCCGGGAACCCTAACCATGCATGTCCCCACTGTCCCTGCCCGGCTCGCTGCCACCCCATGGCTCCCACTGCAGAGCCACCCTGCCTACTACCTGCCCGAAGCCTGCCCGCCTGCCAGGACCCGGAGGCAAGACTTTGTCAACATTTCTCACCAGCATTCGTCCCCCCGCCCGCTGTGCCCTTTGTTCGCCTCCTGTGGCACATATTTGAGTAGTTGGTTCAGTGTCTTACACTCAGTGTCTCTAATCATTTCCTATTATTATGCAAGTTCCAATCCACCAACTGGAATTAAACTGTTTGAGGGCAGGGTTTATGAGTCACAATTTTTGCATATTTCAGAAAGAAAAATCAGGCAGATGCCTTGGGCTCCTCCCAGCCCTGCGCTTAATGGCTGTGTGGCCCAGGACTCCCTTAATTTCTCCTGGCTTTGTTTCTCTCTCTCTAAGGATAATAGTTCCTAGCCCCGAGTTATTGAAGGACTAGGCGGAGAACGTGAAAGGGACTGGGAACTGGACTGCGCCATGCAACGCTGAGCTGGCACGATGATCGTCAGGACACTCAGCCCAGTGCCACGCCCACAGCAAGTGCTCTGGAAACGGTTGTGAGTGCACCCGACACACTGCACTTGTGGGTGGTGGATTGCGTAGTGCCTTCCGTTAAAGGAATGGTATGTAATTTGTTTCAACCAAGACAATCAAGGCATTCCTGTGTGTGAGTGAGTTTTCTTTAAACACAAAGGAAACACCCAGCCCGACTGGCGTGGCTCAGTGGTGGAGTGTTGACCTATGAACCAGGAGGTCACGATTGGATTCCCAGTCAGGGCACATGCCAGGGTTGTGGGCTCAATCCAATGTGGGCATGCAGGAGGCAGCCAATCAATGATTCTCTCTCATCATTGATCTCTCTCTCTCCCTTCCTCTTTGAAATCAATACAAATACATTTAAAAAAAGAAAGAAAAAGGAAACGCCTGTAGCAGGATTGATCTCCTTGCCCGGTGGGCAGAAGCCTTCCAGGTCTCCCAGTGCCCAGCTTAGATCCTTCCCGGCCCCTCCCTCTCTAAGCCCCAGCCTACCCCCAGGACTCCAGCCCAGGCTGGCCGGGTACCCGCACCCACACCCGCACCCGGGAGTAGGCAGTGGTGACCACTGTCAGGCCACGCCTGGGGGTGGCTGGGAGGACCTACCACTTTGTAGGCTGGCCGGGGGCTGGGGTCGGGGGCAGGGCTGGCGGGAAGCTGCAGGCTCCTCCGCTTCTCCTTCATGGAGCCGCTCTGGTGGCGCCGCATGCGGTCGATCTGCTCCTCCACGCTCATCTTCACCTTGCCCTCGCCCGGGAACACCGCGCTCTTGGGGCGCTCCTGCTGCGGGGGGAGGCGAGGCTCTGAGAGGCGCAGGTCCTCCACCAGCCTTTTCAGCTGCCCTCATCCCTTAAGGTTTCCCTTCCTTGGGAAGCTTGCCTGCAGTCAATGGAATAGCGGTCCCCGGCAGCTATGTCCAAGTCCTGACCCCCAGGACCTGGGAGTGCGACCTTATTTGGAAATGGGGTCTTTGCAGGTGTGATTAAATTAAGGGTCTCAAGATCATCCTGAATCAGGGCCACCCTAAAACCAATAATGGGTGCCCCCATGGGAGACAAGAAGACACATGGAAGAGGTGATGCGAAGGTGGGGGCAGAGACTGGAGTGATGTGTCTACAAGCCAAGGACACCAAGCAACAACCATCTGCTGGGGTGGGGGAGCGGGGGGCGTGGCTGGGCCTCCAGTGCAGACTTCTGGCCTCCAGGACTGTGAGAAAATAAACTTCTGTGGGGTAAGCTACCAACTTTGGGCCATTCTGCTCCTTCACAGTGGCCCTAGGACCCCGACACACTGCTCTGGCCAGCACACGACTCTGACCACTGGTTTCTGCCACATCTGTATCTCATCATCATAATTTTGTTCAGTACTTTTTTTATCTTTATTGTGCACACATTCCTGTCCCTTGGCACGTCTCCTTGAAGAAGACCCCCTCAGTTGGGGCTGCTGCTGGCCTTCCTGCTTATTGTCTTCTGCCTCCAGCCCTGGGTTTCTCGAGCAGGAGAAGCAGATGGTGGACACTCAGGGCCCCTGGGCTCCTGGCCTGGCTCAGGCCCGCCAAGCCCCCAGAGCCTGCAAGCGCACTTACCCGGCCAGAGAGGCCATTGGGGAGCCCGTTAGCATTCCTCCTCACCACCCCTGAAGGGGTCATCTCTTCCTCAGCGGGTGACTTTGTCCGCGGGGGCACAATGCCAACTGCAGGGAGACAGAGCGCCAGTGGGCCTCATGGAGAGAGGAAGGCGGAGAGACAGGGCGGGGCTGCTTCTTGGAAAGGCTCGGTCTCACCTCCCCACCTCCCGTGGAGAAGACAGACAGGCCGGGGCGAGCACTCCATGGGTATGAGTGAGCACTGCCCTGCGCTCCTCTCTGACCCTGAGCCTTACTTCTCAGGGAAGATGGGGCGGGAGGTACCTTTGTTGAGAGCTGTCTGCTTGTCTGCCTCCACCTCTTGCCGGGCAGGCACGAGGCTGATGTCCCTAGACGTGTCCGGGGGTGAAGTCTGGTGGGACTCTCTCTTGCTTGGGTCGTAGCTTGCCTTGGGCTGGAAGGAAGGATGAGGAGGTGTTTAATGCGCGAGTGACTGCCAGGAACTAGGCCCCGGTGGTAGTTCTTTGTTTAGCAATGGTTGGCATGCAAACCCTTGACAACCCAGGACAGGGCTACGCCGCGTGTGCCAGCTGTGAAGTGGGCAGGGAGGCACTAGGCTGGGCAGGGCGAGGCCCTCGGGGAAGGAGGGCTCACGCCTCCAGGAGGCCCCTCAACCCGGCCAGGTCCCTCGGCAAGCACAAGAGCGCGGGCTCTCTGTGAGCCAGAGAGGAGGGCCATCAGGACAAGGATCTCTGAGGATCCTACCCAAGACTTGAGCAAAAGAACCAGGCGAGCTTTGGGACCAGGACTCTGGGGGCAGGAAAGGGGCACTTGGCTTGTGGCTCATAGAATCATGAGACCAGAAAGGGCCTCAGCCATCATCTGCTCCATTCTGTGCCTGCCCCCCGCCCCCGCACCCCTCCGTGCAGTTGAAGAATCTAAGTCCCAGTGAGGACCACAGAGAAAGAAGCCTAGACCAGAGCTCAGAAATCTCCATTCCAGCCCCCTGGAGGGCGCGGCAGGTCACACACCCTGCCTTCACCTGTGAAATGCAGTGCCGTTCCTCGCTGGGCAGACCCCACACACCAGTAGCTGAGATGAGAATACGGGTTTCCCAGTTTCAGGCACAGGACTATTTACTCACCGTGCAACCTCTTCCGAGCCTAACTGCACGCCTCTCCTGGATCTTCGCTAGGGATCCAGGCGAGAGGGGAGGCCAGAACAGGGGAGAGGGGGCCTGTACCCTTATATTCCAGGGGGTGGTGAGCCCCAGAGAGGACAGAGGCAGAGACAGAGAGAGCACGGGGGGTTGGGGCCTGGGGTGGACAAGGACAGGACCAGTATGTGTGTGGGGGTCCCTTGATTCCCATCATCTGGTCATGCTGGTAGGGAGGGGGCCATACCACCACCCCTAGCCAGGGGCCCCCAGGAGCCGGGGCACAGGGTAGAGCAGCAACTCATTTCCCCGTTGTCCACAGAAAGCGAAGAGGGGAAAGAGGGCGTGTGAGTGTCCCCGCCAGCCCTTTCCTTATTCCAGAGTTTCACCAGACAGAGGGCCCAGCAGAAATTCAGTGCGGGGGGTGAACACTGGCACGGAGAAGTGACTCCCTGCCCCACCTTGCCCCTCACCTGGCCCTCTGTCCCGTTCCCTCCACCCCTGCCCTCCAGGACCCAAGGGTGCTGGGTACCTGGCCCCTGGCGGTCTCGCCACTGCAGTGCCAGGAAGGGGAGTTGGGGTATGGCCAGAAGTGGCTCTCGCTAGGGAGTGGAGGCACGGTGGGAGGAGACTCCAGGGGCACGTAGGCTTTGGGGAGGGGGGGCCGCGGTGGGCCGGGCTCCTGAGGCAGAGAGAAGCCAGAGCATTAGGAGGAGCGAGAGCAGGCGCTGTGAGAGCAGGAGAAAAGAGCGTTAGCAGAGGCAGGCGCCACCGCGGAGACCCGGGGCCCTGGACCCGAACTCCCACCTGTGGCCTGGACACCGCTGCCTGCAGAGCCGGCTCCCCACCCTGAGCCACCTGCGCACCACGCCCGTCACTCCCCAGCTCTTCTCCAAAGTTCTCTCCTCACTGCCTCACCGTCACTCCGACACCTCCCCACCCTGTCCCTGTGCTCCCCCCAGCCCCTCTGCCTGCGACGGCCTGTTCCTCTACCTGTGCCAACGCCTCAGGCCCAGTTCCAGTCCCATCCTCTCTGGAACAGCACAGCATTTACGGTCTGAACCACGTGGTTCAGCACTGAGACACGCAGCGCCACGTGCCTGAGGCTGGTTTGCTGTCTATCGGCCTTGGTCCCCACTGGGCATTGGGCTCTCTGAGTGGAGGCCGTGGGCATGCAGGGGTGCCCCGACAGGGCCTCTTGCCACCCCCTCCCGCCATAGAGCCGGTAAACACTTGCTGATCGACTGACTAGGAAACTGTCCCCCAGCCCTCACCCTGTCACCCCCTGGAACAACCCTGGATTTAAATTCCGATCAAGTGCTTAGTATCTTTGCTCCCCGTCCTGGTGCTCCAGAAGGAGGCCAGGGATGCCGGTGAAGACGAGAGCAGGCACAGGAGAAATGGGAGGGTAGATCACACACTGGAGGTGAGAACGGCCCCTTAGGCAGAGGCACTGGGGCTGCAGGCCTCGGGGGAAGATGGGGCACAGAATCTGTGTAGTTTCAGGCAAATGAGGACCTGGTCCTCCCTCCCCCGTTCACCGCCTACTCCATTTCATCAGCTTACCTCATTGGACCCAGACTTGGTGGGGGACCCCTGAGAGCCAGACACCAGGGAAAAGGGGCTCAGGGGGCTGGTGAGGCTGGCGGAGCTGAGAGGGCTGGCAGGGCTGTTGGAGCTGTAGGTGGTCGAGGGGCCAAGGCCTCCTTGGGGAAAACAAGAGGAGGAAGATGAGGGTGGGCAGGGGTGTGGCCTGGGGGATGGATGGGCTATGTAGGTGGAGAGGGCAGGGCAGGATCCAAGGACTTGGGAGGGTCCCCCGAGCCTGCCAGAGGGACTTCCATATGGGCTGGGTCACGGCTGGGAGCTGCTGCACAGGGGAGAGGATGTCAAAGCAAGCCGGCCCAAGGTCCCAAGGCTGAAGGAGGACTCTAAGGTAGAGGCCTCAGACCACCCAGGGGCCCGTGGGTTTCGGGGCCGGGGACGCCCAGCTGCTCTTTGACCTTTTCTGGGGAGAAAATCTTGGGTATCAGGGTCAACAGCATCTCTGAGTGGTATATCTGGTCTGTTCTGGAGAGGGAAGGATAAGGGTGTCCCACCCGCCACCCCCGGGGCCCCGGGGAAGACTTTGGAGCCCTGAGAGGCCGTGGCTGGTTCTGAGCACAGAGTGAGGGCCTAGAACAAGCGTGCCATACTTGCGGCTGGCAGGCCGCATGCCTCATTTATTTAAACGCTCCAGTCACGAGTTTGACATGCTTGGCCTAGAGCAGCGGTTCTCAACCTGTGGGTCACAACCCCTTTGGGGGTCGAACGACCCTTTCACAGGGGTCGCCTAAGACCATCGGAAAACACATATATAATCACATATTGTTTTGGTGATTAATCACTATGCTTTAATTATGTTCAATTTGTAACAATGAAACTGGGGGTCGCCACAACATGAGGAACTGTATGAAAGGGTGGCGGCATTAGGAAGGTTGAGAACCACTGGCCTAGAGGGTGAGCACGCAGGTGTGGGAGGAGCCAGGGCACTGAGCGTTCCTGGTGAAGCCAGAGGCCCAGGCTGGCAGGGGAGGGGCCCACCTCTGTGCTTGGCCGTGTCTGTGCCCCGGGACGGGTTATTCTTCCTGAGCCCCTCCATCACGTCCTGGATCCTCCAGATCTCCTTCTGGATTTGCCGGTTGAGCACCTCGTTCTGCAACAGCCACAGAGCAGGTCAAAGGAAGTGACTGCTGAGGAGGGTCCCAGCCCTTTCCCACCTCCCTTAAACCAGCAGCAGGCAGGAGCCCTGTGCACGAGGGAGTGTAAACACACACACACACACACACACACACACTCTCTCTCACACACACACACACACACACACACTCACACACACACACACACACCCCTCCATTACACACACACACTCACACACACCCCTCCATCACACACACACACACACACACACACACACACCCCTCCATCACACACACACACACACATACCCCTCCATCACACACACACTAACACACACACACACACACACCCCTCCATCACACACACACACTCACACACACACACCCCTCCATCACACACACACACACACACACCCCTCCATCACACTCACACACACACACACCCCTCCCTCACACACACACACACAGACACACACACCCGTCCGTCACACACACACACACACACACCTGCGTCACACACACACACACAGACACACGCGTCCATCACACAGAGACACTGACACAGACAAGCCTAGATCTCAAAGAGTGACACACTGACGCACGCACACACAGTTTAACAGACTTTCACACACCTTTCTGCGAGGGGATGCGTAGGCACTCGAATGCATATTAAACGTCAGGAGGGGGGCCCAGGACACACTCATCTCCCCCTGCTCTCATCCTTCGGAGACAGGGAGAGGAGGGGAG